GGTAGCCAGTAGGGCATTCAGTTAGGTAGATATTTCAATGGAACAGAGGAGTCAGAAATACATATAGGATAGGAATCCCTAAGTAATGATGCATGAAAACATGACACTTCAAATCAATTGGGAAAGGATGAGCTTTCAAGTAGAACCATCTGGGAAAAATAAAGGCGGCATCTTCTATGAATCAACTCTCTGACATGGTAGCAATGAGCTAATTAACTTACAAAGAGAAAAGGCTTCTTTTGCTCACAGCTTTAGGGTTTCAGTCCATGATGAGATAATTCATTGCTTTCAAGTGTCTAATGAGGGCCTGGATAGGAGTAAGAGAATGCCCATGGCAAAGTGAACTAGTCATCTTGTGGCCAGGAAGAAAGAGTAGAGGTAATGACTGGAGTCCAGAAGCCCACTGTGAGAGCAAGCCTAGAATGAGGGATTCCCGGCAGGCCTCACTTCCTAAAGACTCCACAACCTCCTGATATCACCTCCCTGGGAACAATACCTTGTACATACATTAAATATAAAGGGCTAATTTCTTTAATATGTAACGAGCCTTTACAAATAAATTAGGAAAATACTACCTCAACACAAAGTGGCAAAAGATAACAAAATATTGTGAATTTTAAATACACAAAAAATGTTCAAAGTTGCTGATGATAAATAAGTACTAATTAAAGCAACAGCAATATGCCATCAAATGCTAATAAACTTTTGACCACTTATTTTAGTGGCAAGTATGTGAAGAATCAAATTTTCTTATGTTTTATTTGTTGGAGCATAAGTTGATATAAGCCCTAGAGAGAGCAATTTAGTAACATCGAAATAAAAAATGTAGATAGACTCTGACCTAAAAATTCCATTCCTAGGGATTTATCCTACATATATACTCAGGCTAGAGAACAATGATGTATATTTGAGAATATTCACTGCAGTGTTATTTGTGAAAGCAGAAGGCATTGCTCAACTGAGGAATTATTTTTAAACTTAGTGTATTTCCATACAATTAAATCCTTTAAAAAATAATGTAGCATTTAATAAGGAGTGTGCTGAAGGAGAAAGTTCTCCTGAAGACCATTAATGAGCACAGCAGGATGGAAGAGCAATCCTTACGTGTCTTACATTATGCACATGGCTAGAAGCTGGAGACAAAGCCGCCTCCACAGCTAAGTGTATGGAGTAGACACAGGTAAGTGTGAGTCCATACCCCCTTTGTGCTTTGTGAGTTGCATGTATGTGGCATTCACGTTTGTCTATTCACAACTTAATGTTTTAATGGGAATGCAGGAGGTTATGCCACAAAGCTGGCTTCATGGAAGGACACAGGTGCGTGGGTGCCAGGTGCCAGGAAGCAGCCTCACGCCAGCAAGGGGGAGCGATGTTTGCACTAGAGATCAAAATTAAGGTGATGCGGAGGCAAGAAGAAATGAGAGTGAGGCTGAGTCAAAGCGGAGCTGCAGAGCGAGTGCTTGAAAGATGGATGAGGTAAGGGAAAAGGGGCTTCTGATGGAGGCCTTTAGTTGTTGCTAATGAGCTGAACTTAGGGCCTGTGTATCTATAAGTTATAGTCACAGCACACTAAAGGGCCCTCCCCTACTGCATTACATTGTCTGCCACAAATTGGTGGGGCATAATTTCTTCCCTGTTCGTATTTAATCATCAGTGAGGATGTTGATACCAATTTTGAGGGCATGGGGATGGGATCTAATAACTTGGAGCAGGTCCTCAGACCAAAAGAGAGTATGGGTAATCATTAATTGCTTGTACCAATGGTATTGCAGGACAAGTCAGGAGAGACCGAGCAGCAAAGGTAGAAGCCGGGCCGTGTGCACACCAGGCTACCCGTTTATACTCAGCTTCAAAGAAGGATGTAGCTTACACAGACCTAGCAAAGCACCGACATAATTAGACACTTGGAGGAAACACTTCTTCATGGCAGGGGTGGTGATATCAATGGCAGCAATGATGAACACTGAGGCTATCTGTCCCTGTGGCAGGATCCTTCACCAGCAATGTCCTCCACTCCTGCCCCCCCTGCCCCCACTTAGGAGCCTATTTCAATTAGGAGTCCCAGACTCTGACCAGGCTGCTATGACAAGGAAATCAGGGCTCCTCACAGCCATCACGGTCGTCTTACTGACTTTCAGTGCAGGTGGGCGATCCTTGCTGCGAGCATCCCTCTCCACAAACAGGCTGTGCTGTCAAGGGAGGGCTCAGCGCTGCTCTGTTCAAGATTCAGAGTGGGGTTTCACTTATTCAATGAGGAATCAAACCTCTTTGGTTTTTCAAGTTGTAAGAGGACCATGACGGACTCCATTTCCTAGTCGTAAAAGTAGCCTGAAAACCAATGTCATTTAAACAGAACTGTTTCCTGGAAGAGAAAAAAAGGAGGGGGCATGTCTTTGTTGTTCATGGACCACAGCCCTCTGACATCCAAATCAGTGAATCCATTATGCCAAAGGTGAGGAGCAGGAAGAGTCTTTTAGGTTAGATGGCAGCTCAGAGAGAGGCTGATTCAAGGCTGCCATTTCTACCCGACCGACCGGCCGCACAGCGATGGGACTAGGAGAGGACCTGTAGAGGCAGCAGGCAGTGTCTTAGGACCCGTTGTTTTTTTCTACAGGAGAAAAGGTTGATGGCTTTGAGTGAAGAGATTATTCCATCATTTCCCTTTTTGCACCAGAGATGGGAACAAAGAATAGAGATGATGCCGCAATCTTGATCTCTACAACCTCATTTGAAATCATTCTCTGTGATTTAAAGTTTTCTGGAAATGAAAAGGGCAAATGGTGTGAACTTAGTTAAAGTTGGGAAGAAAAGTTGATCGGACAGCCTGTTGTCAAGGAAACCAACTCTCTCTCTCTCTCTCTCTCTCTCTCTCTCTCTCTCTCTCTCTCTGTATACATGTGGTATCCTTTATACTCTTCATCTGACATTTAAGAATAATTCTTAGGTACCCAAAGCTTCCACACTAAAAACATATAAAAAAAAATTCTCCAAGAAAGTGATTTCTAGAATTTAAAATCAGGGAGAAGCTTCTCTAACTCTGGTGGAGACAGCATCCTTCTGAATCAGCATCACGGGCGGTCACTACAGTCAGGGTCAAGGCCATTGCCGAGTGAGGTTAAAAAGGCGACAAGACAGCACCCGGGTAAGAAAAAAGGTAAATAACTCAGCCCCTTGATACATTAATGAATAAGTATCATGCTTAGAGCCAGAAGCCACATGTGAAAAGTAAAACTTGAGTGAAGTCCTCCATTCAGAGACCACAGAGAGAAAGAAGGAGGGCTTATTGCTTAGAGACAATTGTTGCCTCCCACCACCCCACAGGAGGAGTATCCCTCCCCGATACATCAACATCAAGCTTGGCCGAGGGACTTTGTTGCCTCACAGTGGCCACAGCATGCTCCCTGCTCCAGTTCTGAGTCTGGCTTGGCAGGAAGGGTGCCAGCACGCATGCTCAGCAGTGCTCCTCGCTCTCCGAAAGAGTCTCTGCTTTCCCACAAGAGCACCCTGCCCTCGTGAGCCTGAGGGATGATGGGAAACATGAGAGGCAGACCTTTCCAGAGGAGCCTCCTCCCTGGCCGACACAGGAAACCCAGAAAGTCCTTCCAGCCAGGTGGCTCTTAGGCTGGCCAACCTCAGCCAACTCTCAGATGAATGAGAAATTATAAAGTTGTTTACGTCACTGAGTTTTGGGGTGGTGTGTAACACAGCAGTAACAGACAAGTACAGAGAACATCGACCACAACAGCTTAACTTTTTACTTTCTCACAGCCATATAAGAAAGTAGAAATGGGTAACCACTTGTTCTTCTGGGTACACCCAGAAGAATCACCATTATATTGCATTGAATTACTATACCACAAAGATCTCAAGCCAATACCTTTCCAAAGCAGCACTGAGAGAATACAGGGCCAGATCTTTTAGGCAGAAAGGTTGACAAACAACTGAACTCATCAGAGCAGGCAAAGCAGTTCCACAGAACCTTCGTGCACCTAGAAAAGTGACTGCTAGCCTGGAGATTTAGGAAAAGCTACTGAAGGCCACCCAGTGGCTGAGGAGGAGCCATGTGAAAACGCACTGAAAGGATGAGGACCCCGGTGAGCACAGATCCATACTGGAAAGCAAAAGAAGCCAAGTCTTCCAGAACTTGGAGATAGCAAATGATCTAAGCAAAGATTCAGCACAAACATCCTGAGTCATAAAAAGCTTAAAAGAGGGGCTGGAGAGATGTTAAGATCATTTGCTGTTCTTGCAGAGGGCCTGGGTTCAGTTCCCAGCACTCACATTTGGCTTACAACCATCTGTAATGCCAGTTCCAGAGAATCTGATGCCCTCTTCTGGCTTCAACAAGCTCCTGCATGCACATGGTACATATACACATGCATATAAATTAAAAATAAACAAGTCTTTAAAAAAAAAAAAAGGGCCGGGCGGTGGTGGCGCACGCCTTTAATCCCAGCACTCGGGAGGCAGAGCCAGGTGGATCTCTGTGAGTTCGAGGCCAGCCTGGGCTACCAAGCGAGTCCCAGGAAAGGCGCAAAGCTACACAGAGAAACCCTGTCTCGAAAAAAAAAAAAAAAAAAAAGAAAGAAAGAAAGACAGCAAACAGAAAAAAATCCAAGAAAAATAAAGGGAAGGGCTATGTTACTTTTTGTGGCCACAAACAAGGAGACCAGGTGTCCCAGTGTATCCAGGACAGGCTTGGTCACACTATTGTCATATGCCATTATTTACAGAACTTATTTCCAGTGCCAGAAGTGTGCCAGGTTAGCTGACAGTAACATCACTGTTGGTGGTATACCTCGCCGACAGGATGGAACAATAAAGGTCCAAATAAGATATGTATTTGTATATATGTGTGTACTGTAGTGTACTTGTCCTTAGGCATCCTCACAAACAAACAATTCAAATGTTCATGACAGTCCCGTTACTGCCATGACTTCCACATCAGTTCAACGTGAGAAATGAAAACATATATAAGAGAATCTGAGTTTCCCCCTTACCCACACAGAGGCCCATATTGCTCCCTGAGTTCCAATTGGCTCTCCCAAAAACCCTGGAGAAAAAACAAACAAACACATAGCACCATGGTAAGAATAAAATTGAGCAAAATTTCAATGATTCCAACTTATTCAGAAAAAAAAAACCAGAACAGCAAGAACACAATTACATAAACAATAAAAGAAGAATCACCATTATATTGCATTGAATTACTATAGAATATTGGGTAAAGAAATGGCTTTTAAAAAATATTGCTGAGTAAAACTCTCAGCAGCTCTATTTAATGGACAGAAGAGACCACAAGCACTTAAACTATCTGCATATAATTGCTGCACACACATCTGAAAACTATTTGCTTTCACATCTACAATATTCCTCTCAGATGTGGCTCTTGTTTGCCAAGTCCCCTTTCATGGCCCTCATACATGTAAACTTCTGTATCTACCCAAGTTATCACAAATTCCAGATTCTCATGAGCTGAGTTAAATGTCAAACAAGAGATTCCAAACCTAAGGCCCTCAGCATGGTTTTTCATAGACTGAAACTTTAGGGTACCAGAAGACATGCATGGGGTGAAATTGGTGGAGGTCGGAACGTGCTAGCCCCTTGTGCTGTAAGGATGGAGCTGAAATGGACGTCGACAGGGAGCATAAACAGGTGTTGTTAGAATTCTGCCCTCACTCCAGCTACATGACTGCACATGCGTCGCTGATCATTCATTTCAGGTGTAATAGGACATCACGTGGGCAGGCATTGGTAAACATGAGATGTGGTGGGAAGGACATATATGTGAAAACGTGCATGTGTTGGGAAAGGTATGGGTGGAAAATGCTAGATCTGAGTCACAGGGATGGAGGGACGGAGGGCTGTGGGTTAAAGAAAGCACATGTCCTGAATGGAACTATGTCCTGTTCTCAGTAACTCTGCACTGCACGGTGAAAGCCTGGACTTTAGCAAGGAAAGCCTAGATGAACACAAGAAGAGTGTAAATTCAGGGCCCCGCCCACAGACAAAGAACTACATTCAACTAAGAAATGCAGAGACAGGAGAAATAGTCCTCCCTGGGGATTAACCCCCTACTTGGTTATCCAGTACCAAGTGGTCAGCTCTGAAATCACATACATATAAGTAACACTAATGGCCCTGAGCAAGTTGTGTCTACACATTTTTACGTATAAACTAAAGAAGACGAGGTCATGGTTTTGAGAGGGAACACGGAGGCATGTGGGAGATAATGGAGAGAGGAAAAGCAGAAAATGATGTCATTATATTTTAATTAAAAAGATATATACGAGTACCTCAGGTGGGTGCCCAGGAGATTAGTAAGTCTAAGTTTTTATAAACCTCTCTAATGACTTGACTTCCCTGTTGAGGGAAAGAGGCATCGTGCCGCAACGTTTGTAAAGCAAACTTGGAGAAGTGTAAGTAAAGGAATGACCTGTGCCTTTGCTGCTGCTGCGTTCTAGAAAGAACACGGCAGAGTTTACATTCACAAGGACGATGAGCTGAAAGGAACTGATGTAGACATTCTCCAGAGCCAGCCTGCCAGGCTTCTCCTTCCATGACCGTTACTCTGTCTGCCTCCAGATGTTAATACCAAGGACATTTTACTCACCTGACCGTCTGATGGTTTCCGCCAACCCTACAACGTATGGAATTTATTTTCTTTCAATTCCCTATATGGCTTGCTTGTTCTATTTTGACACTTTAAAATCTCTTCACACTTGCTTCAAGAGGGTGTAGGGGGCCTGTTGGGGTGATTGTTTGTGGTGGGCTTAAAAGTTGTGAACCAGGCACCCCACAGGGAGAGATGAGAGAAGAGGGTGTTGGAAGAGCAGAGGAGAGAAATGCCAACAACAAACGGTGAAGAAAGGCAGAGGAAGAAAAAAGGAAGGAGATGGAGAAGTGGCCGGCAAAAGGCCAGATGTAGGTCATTCTCTGCCTCGGGGCTGGAGGGGTGGCCTCGCGGGGCGGGGGTGGGGGGGATGTCCCAGCATCCTCCGAGGCTTGCTATCAGGGTTGGCCCAAATTAGCCCTTCCTGCCCTTGTGTGGTAATTCACGTGCAGGATCTGGTGGCGCCTGCTGTTGGTCTGGAGGCAGTGTCCCCACAAGTTAATCAGGCTTCTGAGAAAAACCAATGGCAGTAAAAAAATAACCTTCAAAAATAGATACTGGCTCCCTATCTACAAACGCCCTGGTCATCTACACCACTGCCATGTCACTCTGGTGAGCCGAAGGCCACACACTTAAAATATCTTCTCCCTGAACCAGCTTCCCCTCCCAACCACTTCCTTCTGTCTCCCTGTGGCCATTGTCTTGGCTCTGCAGGTTCAACCCTTTGGCGGCTGGCTCCCCCCCCCCCCCGTCCCCCCCCCCCCCCCCCCCCCCCGACCCTCCAAATTTGGCAGCCACTGGAGTCCTTACTCTGCCCCAATTGTTCTCTTCTCAGGACTGCACTAAGCCCTTCCCCCTTCAGCCTCGATGTCGGCCACAACGTGGATTCTGCAGCCCTGATCTCAACTCTCGGCCTTCGCAGGGTAGGTAGTCTTGCATTTCAGTGTCCACCCTCTACTCCACAACAGTGGCCTTCGAACGCTTGACCTTCCCATCTGAGAGTAAGCTCGCCCATGTGTCACACGCAGCCACATTCTACAGAGTTCCCTCACTAGCTTTGGTCCCGTCAGGCTGCCGGCTGACCAGGGCCACCATTCTCATATGGCGGCCCTCTTGTGCACGGTGCTCTCTCCCTGGTGTGTGTGTCCTGGTCTGCAGCTCCTGCAGGACCCCCTTCTCCAGGAACTCCCCCACAGTGACCCCTCCTTGGTGGCTCTCCCTTCAGCAGAACGATAGCTGCTGTCTATCTGCACTTTCCAGTCTAGGACTTGACACATTCCAGCTGGTGGTATACACCATTGCTGGATGGTGACCTTGAGGGTGTGAGTAATTCTACTTCTGCATTCTAGAACCTAGTATATTTAAATACTCAAAATCAGTTGGGTTTGGGGTGGGTGAATGAATGAATGAATAAATGCACACTAATGATAAGAGATGAACACCATCATAACAATGCTGGAGATGTAGCTTCATTGGTAGAGTGCTTGCCTAGCATGCACAAAACCCTCGGTTCAGCCCCAGCATTGCAGAAGTTGGGTGTGGTGGTGCACACCTGTAATCCTAGCACTCCGGGGGTGGAGGTAAAAGGATCAAAAATTCAGAATCATCACATAGCAAGTTTGAAGCCAGCCTTGGCAACCCTACCTCAAAAGGAAGGAAGGGAGGGAAGGAGGGAGAGAGGGAGGGAGGGAGAAGGAAGGAAGGAAGGAAGGAAGGAAGGAAGGAAGGAAGGAAGGAAGGAAGGAAGGAAGGAAGGAAACCCATTCCAGTGGAGAAGGGTTCTTCCCATCACATGTATTCTTGTTTTTTTTAATGGTTTTTTGATACAGGGTCTCTTTATTTATCCTTGGCTGTCTTGGATCTCACGTTGTAGATAAGGCTGGTCTCAAACTCCCAGAGATCTGACTACCTCTGCCTCCCAAGTGCTGGGATTAAAGGTGTGGACCATCACTGCCCATCATATTTCATGTCATTTTATTCATAATCCACTAAGGCTTGGTATAGTGAATGGCTATTGAAATTTATTAAATATTACTTGGCATCTGTTGAGATTGTATATATTTTTCCTTTACTGAGTTAATGTAACAAGTTATAAATGATTGCTTTTCAAGGCCTACACTCCTTGAATAAGCCCCGTCTGATCTTGATAAATTACTCTTTAACATGTCACATGCATTCTTCACGTGGAGACCACCCTGACTACTGAAACGGAAGCAGGAGCAATGCCCCATGCTAAATCTTGTGCAAGATCCAGCGTCTCACCTGGCGGAAAAACATCAAGTTTCCAATAAAAGGAGAGGGCTTGGGGTGTCTGATGCCCAACTTCTCCAGTCTTGAGAATGCCGATGTGGAATACCTAGGTGGACAGAGAAGCCAATTTTTAAATCCAAGAAACTGGTGCTTATTACATTCATGTCATTGGCCCTGCTATGAAGCAAAACTATTGAGTTCTCTTAGTGAGGCTGAGAGATGTCTCCAATGATGGCATCTAAGGATGCCGGGGCAGGGAACTAGCAAGGAAAAGAGAAGTGTAGGAACTCCCGAGTGCCTCCGGATGCAGGAGTGGGATCCCGAGGCCTTCACCGCCTGAGGTACCTCAGAGGAAGGCAGTCTAACACCCTCCTCCGCTAGAACTCCATCAATCGTCTCCACACACGCACCTCAGTTCCTCAGCTTCTAAAACTATCATGAACCGTAACTCAGAAGACAAAGTAAAAACTTGCAGTGGCCGAGAACGAGCTCCCTGGCATCATTTTCTGGGTCCAGGCCAACCCCCTATTCACACACAACTCGTTGCTCATCACATTCCATGGCCATGGCCTCATTGAAAACAAAAATAGAGGTGGAGGCACCTCATGGCAAGGAGACTGCCTTACTCCCACTTAAAGCCTTTGAAAGACTCTGTCTTCCACCCAACACATAAGGAGGCAGACTCTCTCCACCCCAAACCAGGAAAAGCGGCCCAACAGAGTCCACAACTTTTCAGTACGACTGTCCAAACACTGGGGTCATGGGGATGTTTCTGTTTATGGGAACAGAGAGGTGACATAGTTAGAGTCGGAGCTGGCTTGGGCAAACCTGCCATATGGCCCTGATCCCCACCCAGCCAGACAATTAGGTCAAAAGTTCAGTTGGTTCAGAAAAATTAATGAGTCAAACTGGGTGTTTAGCATCATGCAGAGATCAGCCAAATCCCAATTTAGGAACAAGGAAAAATAACAGAATAGCACTCCAGTCTGGCTTCTGATGAATACTGGAGCTCAAAACCCTCTACAGTGAGAAGCATAGGGTATTTGCCTTCTTCTCCAACCGGAGAACAGTTCAGCAAACCCTCCAACATCCAGGGAAAGGGAGACGCCTCTTAAGTATGGTTTCTACAACACAGCCTTGTGCTTATAGCTAATAGCCACGGGGGAGGACCAGGCAGGGCACAGTGGGAAGCATCCGAAAGTACTGTTGGCTTGAATGACTTCCCAGAACATCGTCAGTATGTCCACATCTGAGTGGAACCATGAAGCACATGCTAGAGCCATGTGTGAATTACACAGATTAGCCACGCCCACGTTCCCGTTCATTAGTGTATGTGCCGAAGGTCAGCAGCACCGTTTGGAAACGGTAGTTTTTCAGTCAAGTGATGGTATTTGAAATAACTCCCCTTGTCCCCAAATGGAGAGATGAAAGGAAACCCACAGCTAGTGAACACTTCCTGTAACACTCTCAAATCGGAGATTTTTCCATCAGTTTTTGCAAATTATTTTCTAAATATAATCTCTGATGGATAAAAAGAAATATGAAGATCTTGGGCCACGTAATTACATCTTAATTTAGTAATTAGATGCCTTGATTGTCTAATTAAAGGACAAGAAGTCTCTGCCTAATTACACATGCTAATTACTATGCAAGTCCATGCCCTCATTATGTAACTGCACTTAGAGCACTGCCTGTGTCTCTGCACAAAATTCAGACATTTTCGAGCATATGGCACCAGCAGAGAGTGTCCTATGCACAATCACAAATCTCACTCACAGCCTGGACTCGGGTGCAGAACGTGGGAGTCTTCAGCGGGAAGGGACCAGGTAAGGCTATCTGTCCTCAGTCAGAGTCCCTGAGCACAGATCTAGAGTGAGAGATTACCACTACCAACGCAAGGGGTGAAGTTGCAATGCGGGCATGATTTGTGTTCGTCCTGTTTCCTTCTCCGTAACCTGTTGTCGTCTTGTGCTCTGGTCTCTGGGGCCTCAGGCTGACCTCCCAATGTCTCACCAGACACCCAAGTCCGTGGACTCCTTCAACCATGGGGTGATAAGTTCCCAATGACAAGATGGAGTCCTAACCTCCAGGACCTCAGAACATGACTCTATTTGGAGATAGGGTTAGTTTAATGCCTTTCATTCAGATGAAGTCATACTGAAGTCAATGGGGCCTCTCATCCAAAAGACCTGGGGTCCTTGTCAGAAGACAGCCAAATTGTTTACTTCGCTCACTGCTGTGGCAAAATATTTGACAAGAAGCAACTCAAAGGGAAGGCTTTCCTGGCCTCACGGGTTTGAAATGAACGTGGGTGCCCCCCTCCCCTGAAATCTCAAGGCCCGCCTCATTGACACTTCCTCCAGCAAGGCTCCACCTCCAACAGCAGCTCCAACGGGCAATGAATGGTCAAGTGCGCGAGCTTGTGAGAGACACTCCACCTTCAAATAACAAAATGGCCGTGTGAAGGCAGACACGCAGAGGGCAGAGGGCAGAGGGCAGAGGGCAGAGTGACACCGCTGCTAGTCAAGGGAGGTCAAAGGTCTTCAACAAACTTCTAACAGGAGGAAAGGCAAGGAAGGGCTCATCCCACAGGGTTCCAGGGAGCCTGGCCTCACCAACACCTTCATTTCAGACTTCCAGCTTCTAGACCCGGGAAACAATCAGTCCTCCAACAGAGCAGTCGTGGGAAGCTGAGAATACGGTTGTTCCCAAAACATTCCAGGCAGTCAGTGGGAATATTTTAAATTTCTCTTTCTTCCCGTCATTCTCAACACTGTCATTGTAAAAGACATCTGTCTGTCTTTTGTGTCAGATTGTGTCACTGAATTCTGTACCATCCAACAGAAGCGCAGGCGGCCTGGAATGGTGCTGTGAAAAGCGGGTACTGTGCAGCCGTTCTGTGACCGCTATGTTGTGATATTCGGAACAGCTTTCCTATGACAGGAATTAATGCAAATAGACCCACCACTACCATTCTGGACATCTGTCGTTGTTTATAGTAAGGATACTTAAGTCAGAAAATGACAGCAGACATACATATCGCCCCACATAAAATTTTCTGGTTTTATTCTCACATCGAAGGCATCATTACATGCTACAGGACACAGACCTTGCAGAACCGCTGGTGAAGCTTAGGGCGTCCCTCTCGGAATAAACTGAACCACAGGCAGAGTTTTCACAATAAGGCTCAACTGTAAAGGTTACGAGTTGCCCAGTCTTTCATTTTCCTCAAAACCAGGGCACTCTCTTGATGGGTTTTACACAGGATTATGGCCCATTGTCTAGGCAAAGAAACCACTTGAGGTAAACGGGGGGGGGGGGGGGGGGGGGGGGGGGAGTTGTTGTCTGAGACAAGATCTCATATAGCCCAGGCTAGCCTCAAATGTGTGTATGTTATGTAGCTGAGGAAAACTTAAAACTTCTCACCCTCCTGTCTCCACCCCCTGACTGTTAGGATTACAGGTGTGTATCACCACACCTGGTTATACAGAGCCAGGGATCAAAGTCAAGGCTTCGTGTGAGCTGGGCAAGCACCCTATAAACTGAGCTACATCCCCAGGCCTTGGAGAATGCTTGATGGGTTCAGGTCAAATGGGCTGAGATTTAAAATACCAGAAGCCAGTCAGCAGCCAGCCTGGCCTGCAGGCTTCCCTCGCTGGGTGTCCTAAGCAGCCATAAGAGCAGCCTTCTCTTTGAGCACGTGTCTGGGTTCTGCCAGCAATATGGCTCATTCATTCCGTTCACTTGGAAAATAGCGACCTGCAACCTTGGCTGAAGCCCCATTCATCCTTCGCCTGCTTCCGCTCTCTACCAGAGCAAGAGAAGCACACAGGCAGAAATAACTTAAATCTTGTTTTAACACAGACATTTCTGGTGAAAAAATTATGACATCTTGAGTTTGTGTGTGAGACTCTCATTTCTCCTTTCAGTACCTCATGTCTGGTTTCCTTCCTTCCTCCCCTCCTCCCCTCCCTCCCTCCCTCCCTCCCTCCTCTTTTGCAGTGCTGGGACAGAACCCAGGAACTCATCTATACTGTGCAAGTGTTCTACCCTGGAACTACATCCCTGATCCTCAGGTATTTTATTTTATTTTATTTTGTTTATTTATTTTATTTTATTTTTTGAGCTGAGGACCGAACCCAGGGCCTTGCACTTGCTAGGCAAGCGCTCTACCAGTCAGCTAAATCCCCAACCCTTGGTCCTCAGGTATAAATGGCATCTCTAACGGCTGATACAAGTTCTTCCCTCCAATGATGTAAAAGCACCACTGCCGCCGCCGCCGCCACCACCACAACAACAACAACAAAAAGTGACCATTGCAGTCATTCGCCTGAAAACAATTCTGTTACAAGAAAACAATGTTCCATTGATATGGGAGAGCTGAACAGTCACACTGTCGTTATCATTTGTTCTCGGCCACACAGTTTCCTATGTCCCAGGCACTGTGACTTATATGCCACCTCACATACAACCTCCAACAACCCTTTGAAAGTAGAAGTCAGCACTGTTTTCCTGCGGCGAGTTGGGAGTGCCAAGTTTGGAGAGATTTAATGGTGTACCCAAGGTACCAGACCTGCTCAGCACCTGAATCAGAGTTCAAACCAGGTCAGGCTCACTTCGAGCAGGTGTTACTGTCCATCTACTCTGCTAACCCGTTCAGTCCTCCAGGCTACGGCTTTGAGGGTTAACAGGAGACTGTGCAGATAATGTGCTGAGAACAAAAGCGGGATGCTCGGAATGTAGAAGCTTCATAAACACAGATGTTAAAGAACTGACAGGTGTCTGGGGGCTGCCTGTGTGAGGCCAGTCCTTCCGTCTCCACTCCTGGCCTGTCTTGTGGTGATGCTCTTGTTTTATTACTTATTTTTATTAACTTATTTAGTGTATGCCCATGCACATACGTGCCATGGTACACATGTGGAGGTCAGAGGACAACTTGCAGGATTTGATTCTCTACTGTACTGTGGGGTCCTAGAGCTTGAACTCTGGTCGTCAGGTTTGACAGCAAGCTCCTTTACCCAGTGAGTCCCATTGCCTCGCCCTTTGCTTGTTTTCCTCTGTCTTCTTTCTTTCAGATGCATTGATCTTGCCTTTCCACTGGACCAT